GATCAGTACTAACTCCTGACTGACAGCTACAAGCATCCCACAACAGAAGGAGTTAAATAAAAGTTCCACCCCAGAGGCACAAAGCCCTCCATAAATTGTGCTTTTCTACAGCAGTTACTCCAATAGTCTACTCCAGCCAAAAATACACTTCCTGCAAGACCCAGGCTCTCCTGGGAAAGCACTATACTCCCATTCCTCAAAAAACTGGTACAACAAAAGTCATGCCTGCTACAAAGGTTGGGACTTCCACAAAGGAAATGTCTGGGGAAAAAACAGCTGAGTGTAAGTTTAACTAAGAAGTAAACACCAAAACTTCTACACAGGCACCAACATTTTCATGTTAGTGCTACTCATGGGGAGTAAGATAATTCATGATACATGGAGCCTAAAATTCACAAAAAAATCAAAATATACATCAAGGAACAGCTCCTCCCTGCTTTTAAAAGCCCAATAAATATGAGAAATTCCAAAACCACACAAGAAATCATAAAGTGAAGCTGAAACTCCAGGCAGTACAGCAAAAGACAATGAACATATTTAAGACAGTCAGACTAACATTAATAAAATCAAGCACACAGTGATGTGTGAAGGGTCTGTTTAATTCCCCCCATATGATCAGAGCTTGACTTAAATAAGTAAAACAGAAAAACTGTTATAATCTATTAAAACTAAATGGCCAGACATTGAAAACAATTTCTTATATCATAAAGCAGATGTTTCATTGAGATAGATTATAAGGACATTTCCCAATGTTTTGCACCAGTGTGACATAAGTTGCCAACACTGAAGTTCTGTACAAGAAATAAAGAGAACCATGGTAACCTCTCACACAAAATGTATATGCACACCAAACTCTTACTGGAGCAGGGACTCATCTTTTAAGCACTGATTTAGCACCTAATCCACAGTTTCTCTTCTTCATGGCACAGAAGTGCCAGAAAAAAAAAAAAAAAAAAAAGATAATTCCAACAAAACACTCAAGCCACATTGTGGCTGGAGCTTCTGGATTTTTTTCACCCTCTGAAAAAAACCTAAACCAGTTGTTTTGGGCATCCCTTCCAAAAGCAAAGCTTCTTTTGACCTTCATCTAGCAGAAAAATCAGAATCCCAGTTTGAGCAACTGCTTGTGTGTGACTGTGTCAATACAGTTTTGTGATAAAATCTTGGAAAAGCATTAAGAAACACCCTGCTTTGTGGAATCTGCCTGACTGGACAGAACAGACCCATTTTGCCCTTCCATTATATATTATATGTTACATTCTGCAACACCACTTGCACTTCACCACTCAGACACACTCCAGTCACTGGGTTAGATCCAGTGCACCTGACACAGAAACCAGATCCCATCACAGGCCCATGGTCATACATGATCCTTAAAAACAGACAGCAATTTTTACATAAGTCAGAAAATCGTATTAGCTACACAACTGCCTCGCTGATACTAAAACCAAGTTAAAGTATTTTTTTAAGAATGTATCATTTAATATTGCTTCCACACACAGTTGAAAATACCACATCTCTGTGTAAAATTCAACCTAGAGGAACTGCTGACACACTTTTATAAATTCACAATTCTTGCCCTAATAATTAAGAACACAAACAACAGAACTACAAGACCATTTCCTAAGAACAGCATTAAGCTTTTGTTCAGTATTTTCAAAGAGCAACACAGACCTCTGCTGGCAACACTGGGGAGCAGGAATCAGCTCATACCAGCAGCAAGCTGGGGAAGATCTTTCTCTATAAACTCATGTTGAGACCTTTAAACATAAAAACAACAGTCAAAACTGCACACACCTTCAATTCCTCCCAGTGGAATAAATCTTACTGACAACTGACAATTTACACTGCTCATGTTTAAGTGTACAGAGAATATGTTTTTAAAACTAGACCAACAGCACAAGACTGAACTGTTCAGTAAGTCTGTCCTACTTCTTTTTAATACACCAGCTTAACTGGGACCAAAAGTTACCTCAACTTTCTAATGTGATATTCAGACTAAAATGTTGATTGAGCTTGAAAAGTAGATGAAAAAACGCTGTCATCTTATTGCAGGGGTTCCATGCTATTATCTTCTTACCACAAAAGTTTCATACCTTCCTGGTGTTTCTCATGGGCATCTCCTCAGAGCACTGACTCTTTCTTCTTCACAAAGCAGCCACCAACTCCAGTTCCCTTTTCCTCAACCAGCCACCCCACTCTTTTATAGCATCTTCTTCTCATTGGTTACACCTGCAGCCTGTTAAAGTCAGGGCTGCTCCTGATCTTTGATAATTGGCCCAGCTGCAACTCCTTAGGGGTAAGATTACTTTCTACACTATCTTTATTTTCTTACATTCTATCCCCCTACAAGAAAAGAAACCCTAAAGAATACTTGGTCTGCACTGTCAGAAGAAAAAGCTTCAAAAATAAAAAATAAAATATTTCACTAATAACTCTTGAGCTCCTAGGACCTCTTTGTATTGTAAGAACAGAATCATTTGTTAACCTTTTCCAAGCTGCTAATCAAAAATTAAGTGTTAATAAATGCAATTCTTTAGTAGTTTTTCCCCCTCACACTTTGCACAGCAATTTTAAGGATTAAGTTAAGAAAGTGGGTGTATAATCTAGAAAATTCTTACAGACCACTTTCCTAATCAGGAAAGAAAAGAACCAGCACAGGGCAGACAGTGTCCCTATTTACAGGCATGTTAAGTTAATGGCAATGAAGCAACATGTGACACCACTAAAATCCTAAAACTGCTGAAGGCATCCAAAGTATTCCCTCAGTAACTAAACAAGCATCTCTATTTTTCAGAAGTTGAGGAGATTTTTCACCTCTAAGGGAAAAAAGTGCTCCTGACAAGCAAGATATAAATCCCAGTATTAGATTCACAAATAAAGTGAATTAAGATATCATTCCATCTTTGCTGATCTGTTTTTAACATTGCTATCTTAAAGCAGAGTATATGGATGAATAAAAACATCACTTATGTGTTCATCCATTTTTCAAGGGATTCTCAGCATTTCCCAAATTTTATCTTGAGCATCCAGCAATGCAGTAATTGAAAATGCATTTTTCTGACTGCAGTCTACCAAGTTACAGCTTGATCTTTGTTCTAGCCATCCCAAAATGAAACATTTCTCAACAAATGGACAGACACCATAGCTAGTTATTTTCAAATATACCACTGAAACTCATTTGGACAACAATCAAAGGGTTCAGTTATTTTTTTCCTTGCAATATTGAGTACAAATGCTCAACAAGTGATACACTATTTTTATATCTCTTTCTACTTTATGGACAACATTTCCCTCAAATTATTTATGCTTACCTTTAAAAGAAAACATTTTGCTGCTCTGAAATCACAGGAATTGTTTACGCCTCAAAATACTCAGGGAGGAAACTATTGCCTCCAACAGACATAGAAAATTTAAAGGGAATATCTACAGCACCAAATGGAGCACAGCATTGAAATCCTAAACTAACTGCAAAATAAGCTCCAAAATTGGTAAGAGTCCCCTTGAACCAGCTAATGAATCCATGGTCTATAGCAACTGGTAGGAAATATCAGACACTGCATAGGACTAAAGCAGCACTAAATGCAATGTGGTATGCAAGAGTTTTGAGTTCTCCAGGCCCTAACACCATCTGGATCACAAATTTGCTACCTTCATATTTATGGATCCTTTATGGCAAAGCAAAAAACATTTCAAGCAAGGATATGATTGATTACTTGTGACCAATCCAGATTATAAACTAAGGGAGAAACATTGAAAAAAAAAAATTGACAAAACCATTGTGTATCTTGGATTAATCTTTTGCCATATTTGAAACACCTCCCACTGATTCAGCAAGGCTGAATTGCAGCTCTGCTCCTGCTGAAGGCAAATCCCTTTGAGCCCAGGTAACTCCTGAAATGTTCAGATATTGCACAGTTGCATAAAGAGCAAATTGTACTGCTGGGTGTAATGTAGAGAAATGCTGCAACAAGAATTTGGAACACAAACCTCACCAGAAAGCCCAAATTCATTGAGACAGGTAAGTACAACACTTGCTGCCCAACAGCAGTGCCAATCTGTAGCACACATCAGGCAGGGACAGCAGGATGACACTGCAAGGCACAGTGAAGCCCTAAATTCTTCATGTGACTCCTGTGCAGTAACACTCCCTTAAATAAATAAGAAATAAAACCCAAGAAAACTCAGATTGGTAAGCCCTGTCATTTTCCAGAACATCTTCAAGGATTTCCAATGTCCTCAAAAATGCCTTTAAGTCAAAATTCTGAACTAAACTAAAAACCACCAAATTATTTGCATAAGGACTCCTTCAATATTGATGTAATTCCATCACAAAGAAAAATGCAAAAAACAAAAGGCAACAAAAGATCAACAGTTACCTGAATCTCTCATTCACCCACTATAGAAGCAGTAATATTTAACAGATATCTATAAAAGCTGGGTCTGAAAGGACTGATGAACCTGTGATAACTAACAGGGATTACTGAAGGTCATAAATTGTATTTCCTTGAAGTAAAGAAGCATTGAGTAAAATATCCTGACACAAGTTCATCATCAAATTCACTTGAAAGTACCTTCAGAGGTACAGCTTCCTGGGAAAATCTAACCTGAATTTACTTGCTAGCATAAGGAAGTCTTTCTGAATCCTTTACCTGAACTGCCCTGCAGCCATACAAACCTCAGTCCTTGTCCTAGCCACCAAGATCATCAAAATAAAATTCCCTTTTCTTTCACAGCCATCCTTTATATATTTCCATAATGTTAAATGCCTCCATCAATATTTTTCTAGACAAAAATCAATTGTTTCAGCACTTTCCTGTAGCTCTCCTATAAGCTCATAAGTCTCCACAGATTTTTAAAAAACACCTTTTAAGTAGTGGTTTTATATGAAAAAAGTGCAAAGCAAGTTTAAAAACCAAAAATACAGAGATATTTAAACAAGCAAGTAGGCAGTAAGACAAAGTTTGCCATATTTTACCTTCTGTGCCATGTTAACTTACCTATTCCTGAATTGGCTCCTGTGATTATTGCCACTTTGCCACTCAAGTCACGGCCCTGCAGAATTTCCATTGCAGTACTGTTCCCATCATATTTCTGCCTAGTTGTAGGTTTTACTGGGTTATCTTCTACTGTAAAGGCCAGTCTTGGGTCAAGGTAGGTAGTCCTTTTGTTTATGTGGCTGCAAAAGAACACAAAAACTCAACTGTTTGAATGCTTCTGTTCCCGGCATTTAGATTTTAGATGTATTTCAACCACTGCTGTGTGCAATTCCAGTGGATTATTCAGATTCCCAAAAATCAAATTTTTTTTCAGTTTGGCTGAAATTATCCCAATTATTTTTTTTATTCAACTTTTTTTCCAGTTGTGACAGCATCTATTAATAATTTTATTTACATACTTCACAAGCCATTCTGAACTTCATGTGAACCCCTGATATAAAAGGCAGAATTTTGTCAGGGGAAAAAAGAAAAAAATCTTTACATTAGGGAAGATCATGTTATCTTTTATAGCAAGTCTATAAAAGGATGCCACGCTTGCAGACACTGCAATATCTGCATTTGGATTCTGAAGCTGCATTTATTAATCTTTTTGTCTTTCCAGCTGATATTGTCACAGTCTCATAACTCAGGAGGCTACTCAGCATGTAACCCAGCTGTCCTCCTTCTACAGACTCCACAATTTCAGTACTTACTCTACAAAATAGACTTGTCCATTTTCATCAGTCTCCTGCTCCCATCCATATGGCAGATCTAGGAAGCACATAAAGCATTAACTTTATTCTCAGGCATTAGAATACTCTTCAGTTTGAAGTTTAAGTGATTTCTCAGAGTGATGAGACAATTCTGCATTATTTTCTGGAGGTGGTGCAGTTACCTGCTGCCCTTGAGTACAGACCTTGACAGAAGGATTGCTTCCCTAATCACACACAATTGCTCTCTCATGGAAGCACAATACACAGAAGATCTGATACAAGTGCAATGGCTGGCAGATTAAATATAAAGACAGTCTAAAAAATCTTTATAAAGATTATTTCATGTTATAGCACAAAAAAAACCAAAAAACAGCAAAATGCAACCATGCTTCCAAGCACATAGAGATCTACACTACTCCCAGTTCAGTATCTATCCCTGCTAAAATAAATAGCAAAAGCATAGAGGAAAAGTTAAATGTAACACATACCAAAAGCTGAAAGATCAGAGCCCTCAAGTGGGCATGAATGAGATACAATAAATCAAACCTAAATGATTCAATGAAGTTAGAAGGACAGATAAAAGAAAAATGACAAATCTTTACATAACAAATTCTTATATAAAAGATTCTACAAAGGTAGTTAACAGATGGCATTCAGAGTATTTCTAATCTTAGCTATGTCTCTTAGACTGACTGAAGACTTAGTGAAAACATTCCACTTACAGTCAGATTACCAATGCCAACAGAAACATGGCCTGCCAACAGCGTGGTGTCCCCAGGTACAGAAGCTTCTGGAAAGATCTGATTTAAGGCACTGACCCAAGGTCCTTGAGAAGATTTTCCTCTGGAAGTGCTCTGCAACACTGCCTGCCTTCTGCTCTGGCACAATACTCAGTTGGGTTGGGGAAAATGAGAACTAATAGGGTTTCCTTCTGTGCCAGGGATACTCCTTGGTGAAATACATTCTTTGAAGAATATAATCCAGCCATAAATATTATCTGATGCACACCAGGAGCACAGAACTCCAGCTTTTGACTATGCTTTATAAGCCACCCTAAAACAAACTCTGTAACCTGGAATTAGCACTTTGGTTTGTGGAGCAAAACAGGAAAGCCATAAAACTGCAAAGTGATCACTCTGCACAGACACAATCACAGAGGTAAAACCCCACTGAAATCAGCCATATTCTGCAAGCTCAGAATCAGTGACAACTAGAAGATCACAATGACATCAGTCAGAGTTTGTGGAGGAACCAGGTGTTTGTAAGGTAATGTCAGTTCATTGGAAAAGTTTAACACAAACCTCCTGCAACACGTTTCCTCTTGCCAGACTTAGGATGTTCCCACTGTGTTTTTTCTTCTAGGTGGCTGCAGAAAAAGAAAAAGTTTAAGATTTTTTAAAATTGTCTAATAATCTTTCTGGCATAACCAAAAATATCCCCACAGTTCTGAAAGTAACTAACCAGAGAGCACAGGAGTGTATAAAAATTCAAATAAATGTTTGACTTCCAATCCAAGTTTTGTTTCTTATAAGGAAAAAAAAAAACCTCACTTAAAAATAACATCAACAGACTCAAAAAACACTTCAAAAATATAATGATCCTTGGCAGGAGCAAGGAAGAAAGAAGCAAGAAAAAAATTTATCACCAGCTAGTAGTAATAAGTCTTCAAATTACAGAAGCACCTTTACAAATCAATATTGTTAGGCAGGAGTTTTAGAAAGATGCTTTTGAAAAGTTTTGAAAGAAAGGTGCTTTACAAAGGTTACTTACAGCATACTTTATAAATCAATATTGGAGTTCGGAGTTTTAGAGAATATAATATAAGTAAGTTGGATTTCTATGAGCAATTGTAGCTTTGGACAAATAAGTTTATCCCCAGGCCTTGACTAGCAGGATATTTATTTAATATACATAACCATGGTATCCTACCTTTTCTTCCAATTCAGAGACTTTATTCATTTAAATCGCTAGCAGGATTAAAATACTCCATCATAAGATTTTTCTGAACTTTGCTTGTGGAATAATAAGCAGTCGTGCACATAAACAAGGTCTTAAAATAACCAAAGTGCTGAAATCGAGTTGGACATTAAAATCTCATCTTTCATTGAGTATTTTTAAATAACAACCAACTTTTAAGAGTCAAGCAGGGATTGACTGAATGCCCAAACTGAGAGCTGCCCAAGTATGAAATAAAAAGTGACAACAGCAACAAATAACACACAAATAACTACAGATAACCTACAGGCCCAACAGCCATGTACAAACAACAAAAGCAACTTTCCCTTCTTACAGCAAGGCCACAGTGACAACTCATGGTATTACAGGGATCACAGCTGGGGAGCTCAGACTAAACAAGTGCACCTGTGTGACCTGAAAATAGGAGATATTTAACCAAATTACAGCAGCCTGACAAGCATTTGCTCTCCACCTGTGTGCTCACCTAACTCTCATAAACACCTTCAAAAGTCTTCAACCAAAAGAATCTTATTCCAGCTAAAAGTTCATATTGGTGATGAGGCTTAAAGTAAATTCCCAGAATAAGCAGAAGAATCACACATACAGGGTGTATACTTAAAGGCAGCAACAGTGCAATATATTTTTAGACACCTTGGGCAAGATTTTCAGACAGCAAAGATATTATATTCCTGCTATGCTGTTAAACTGAAGCAGTCCAGCTTCACAAGAGTTGTGAAACTGACCTGTTGAACTGGCTGTGTAACAATTATGCTCAATGATACCTTGTTGTTTCATAGGTTTGTTACTTTCACCTAGCGATTCCTTCCGGAAAGAGCTTTTAAAATCAAAGGAAATATACAAGCAATTGACCTAAGGAAAACAAATACCTAGAGAGAAATTGCAGTGTTTACAAGGTGTGGATAAACGAAAGCATTCTGTCCAGCGTTTGTAAGAGCAGAACTTGGGAGGACAAGGCACTGGTGAGATGAAACCATACTTTTTGTGGAAGGGAATAACTCTTGTGGCTTTAAACAGAAGGAGGTCCCAAGATCAGCATGGCTATAGAAACCACACAAGAGGAGAGAGTGTATAAACACATATTCTACTGAGTTAGCTCATTCTGCGGCACACTCCCTCTGTAACCCGGGAGGATGGGATGGAATCCTGTCCAGCAGCACGGGCAGAAGGAGCACAATGCAATTTTTCATCTCTTGCCCCAGGTGTACTGAAGAGCTGCGGACATGCACAGGGTTCAACTTCCACCGCACCTGTTTCTCCTCTGCTCCCACAAGGAAGCAAACTGACCAATCTGCGATATTGTGTGAGCCTTAACCAGCACGCACAAAGATCGCTCCGGAGCCCTGAGG